ATGCATGTGCAAGAGAGATAAGAGAAGAGAAGAGACTAAGAGAGATAGAACAGGTGAGGTTGCAAGCTCAGCTATCTAGCCTGTTATGACACCAAAGACCAGATATATTAGTTGAAAGAAGAAAATTTGATGACCCGGATGTGATTCTGGTTTTTGAAAACAAGCGGTTTATGCGATCCAAGCCTAGCAAAGAGGTAGATTTAGAAATGTGTATGATATAATGATGTTTATATTGACATAGGTAAAGATTTGTCTACCTAGAACATAAAGTATATATAAAAAAGATATGTTTAAATTAAACTTATTATCTCAGACCTGACTGTTGATCACCAAGAGTTCCTTGAGAATCCCAAGTCCCACATTGCCTGCCCCCACTCACTTTCTTCCCCTCCCCCATTTTTTCAGAAGCCAGAGGATGCCTGCTGCATCTTGCACTGTAGTGCAAACAGATTCCCCCAAAGAGAGAGGAAGATAAAATGAATTTAAATTCCAAAGGGGTTCCAGTGCCGGTTTCCTAGTCCCCGAGTCAGCAATGTGTTTGTGAAAATTCAGCCTTTTTGTCTCCCAGTAAAAAGGAGCTAAATCTACATCGGTGGCCCAGTCTCGGATTGCTATTCTTTGCATTTTCTATTCGAGTGAATGAGAGTGAATGAAGTGGCCGGGACCCTTCATTTGATCTACTCAATTGCATAAAGTGACAGAATTCTAATATATTTGTTTAATGCTCTTCAATGGGCTTTCACCTTTTTTTGCTTGCAAATGAAGCATCCGTGGGCAAAGTTTCATCCCCCTTTAACACTGGGACATATTTCATAACTGAGGCCGTGGTTTGAAGTAATCTTGAGAGGAGTTTTAGACTCAAAAAGTGGAAAATAAAGAAACAGATGTGAAGTTATTGTAAATTCCTAGAGTGGGCTCTGGGGCTATTGTGCCTCCACGGCGGGCGGTCCAGGGGCTGTGCCTTTCATGCTGTAATTGAAACATATTAATTAGATAATTTGTTGTTAGTTTAAACGAAACAAATGCATCCCCTTTGAGGCTTCACAGCCGGTGGGTTGGGTGGTTTTTGTTTTGTTTTTGTTTGGGTGTCTCTGTGCATATGTGGCTTTTAGGAGAAAAAAATTAATTGACATTTATATTAAGAATTTAAGAATAGATCCTGATCCTTTCTGTTTCTTAGTTGAATACCTTTTACAAAGGGAATTTTCATTTGTAAAAGTATAAACCCACTCCTCACCCCTACACTCTGCAATCCCCCAGTGCCCCTAGTCTTGCATAAACGAATGTAAATCTTACTGTCTGCAGCACCGGCTTGGACTCTTCCTCCCTCCTACCTCCCACCTCATCCTTCTTGAGCACCTGGCCATATTTATGCTTGCAAGACCCTCAATGTTCTCATCTCTTTAAAGGAATTAAACTCACTGCTATAGTATTTAGGCCATTTTGATGATCATTTACTAGTGCCACTCCTCACTCAGGTTTTTCAAAATTCCCAAATCAGATAATAGAAACAGTGAGAATTTCTGTAGCTTCTCTCTTGAGAAAGTGCATGAAATTCATTCATTGTGTCAGCGCTTCCTCAAATCACAGAGAATCCTGTGTAAAAACTCAGTCAAATGCAGAACCATGTAAAAAACCAAAAGTAACAGAATAGCCAAGTTTCCAAATACAAAATCCGAAACTAAGAAATCAATACTGCTTGAATTTACAAAATAGAAAACATTATCACTTATCTCAGTTCTGAGGACAAACCCCACACAGACACCTTCCCACTCCATGGCGTTGTCTCTTCCAGTTTTATTTTAAAGCTGTGTGTATTGACTTTGGACTTGAGCCAGGTGAAGAGATTTAACATGACAAAGAGAGCCATTGAAGGTATCATAGTTATAAACTTCCTTATTTGTGGGGCACTTCAGCTAAACAGGGCATAAGTCTCAAAGCTGGGGGAGTGAGGCAGGGATGGAGTGGCGTGGAGGCATGTGTGTTTGGACTGCCTTTGGATTTCTGATCAAGGTCAAAATATCATCAATGGATTTTTTTTTTTTTACTTTACTCATTCAACTTTGTCTGAGAAAAGATGCCTGCATTTGTGAAAGGAGGGCTCACAATGCCCAAGTTATTTCATTCTTTGCAATACACCATGACGAACTTACCAGCTGAAAAGAGCATTTTCAAATACTGAGTTGAAATCTCTCCTTTGCTAAAAATCAGAAATAGATCTGTATCTTATTTACCTCTAGGTATTAAGTGTGTGTATGTACACATCACTTATCTCTGAATTCTAGTGCCTGTTATAAGAGGAACATTTATCTAAGCTGAAGATTTATAAACTGTTTGAGGCCCATGTTAGGCCTTTATACTTCCTTCATCCCCAGCTTGAATTCAGTGTTACCAAATTCGATGAGATTAGCGTATTCCAGAGATGGCCTTAATTTTCTTTTGCAGGCAACTGAAAACATATTTAATTTTTTTTTTAAAGTGTATGATTTCTTGTTGAGAACAAAGTTTTTAAGAGTTTCCTAGCCCGGGGTGGTTAAGTTTTCCAGGCTTTCTTTAGCTGATCTTGTTGATATAATTGTGAATTGGGCTTGATGAATGAGTTTAGTTGTCCCCTGTTTGACGAGCTTTAGTAGCTTCATGCATTTTAATCAGTCCAATGATTCATTTATTTTCCACCTTTTTTTTTTTTTGGCTGTGTGTGGGATCCTTCTTTTTAAAAAATGGTTGGAACAGGATTAATTACCTTTTGCATTAATCCTAAGTTGTTTCTCAGGTAGTCCTCTAAATATATAACGGTTGCAGGTGCTAAGGATCCTCCTATGAAGTACAGTGATTGTGGTTTCTATGTGGGTTTCTCTATGTTGCACAAGGGTCTCTTGTTTAATCATTTTACACAGTAAAGTGTTAATCACCATTTAAGTTTCTCTTTGCCTTGTAAGTTCATTAGGTGAATACACATCTCATTTCAGAAATATTGTGACCCTTTCAATAAAGTGTCATTTAGCCTTGAGCCATAAATTCTTGGCAAATGTTAATTCTCTGCAAAAATATGAAGAAAAGCAAATACTTCAAGTCAGGCGTTTGAAGTAAATTCATTCATATCTTTAAAATAAGTGCATCAAGCATTATTTTCTCAGAGGAAGGAGTGAAAGAAATCTGTTCAGTTCAGAGTGAACAGGTATCTTGACATGAAGGTGAACCTTTAGGTAATTTCTATTTAAAAAATTTTAACAACTGCAATAATTTAAAGGAGCAAGGAACTGAATACTCACACTAAATAAGATGCATCAGAATATAAGCATTGAGTAAGCAAGTCTGTTTTTACTTTTTAAGTCTCCATATTTTCTACCTGATTTCTACATAAGCGTTATAAGTGCTATATTTCATAAAATGTATATTTTAATATAGACAAAATACATATAAAGTACTTATTGTTTCAAAAACAGGTTTTCTTTCAACACTGCACCTGTGCACCTGATCTGTAATAGAAATAGTCTGTTTCCTTTTTCCCTATACACAAATACCTTCAAAATTCTGTCTGAATAATTTCTCCCACAATCTGCAAGTGCATAAAAGGTTTGGCTGTTTTCACAATATGATATGAAAAAGGCAAATTACTCGGTGTATTGCAGAAAGCATGCTTAGGGGAGCATTACATCCATCTTTTGCAAAATTATTATTTGTAGCAACTCTTCAAAAACACACAAAACTAAAATTTGAATTTACATATTTTAATGAGAAAATATTATTTGGACTAGGTCATAATTTAATGTAGACACCCCCCCTTTTTTTTTTAATCCTTTGTTTTAAAACAGGCATGCTGGGAACAAGAACATCAATATTTAAAATGCCATGCTAATTCTGTACAGGGAGGGAAAAATCATAGGTAAAAATTTTACAGCTCTGATGACACTACAACTTTTTTTTTTTTAACTTAAGCAGGTCACACCAGAACAACAGTTCGTTTTCCAGCCAATTATCTAAGAGTCTAAAGGAATACGACAAACAAAAGTGCATTTTACACAGTGTATAATCATTCCTATTCACAAGTATTTACATCTCTTTGCAGCCCTTTAGCTTCTTGGAAAAGTTCTGGTAGCAAACAGAAAGACTTGTCCGTGGGAGAGCTATCCGGTGACATCCCTTCATGTTATCAGTCAGCTTATCTAAGTTCTTCCCGGGTTGCCCTTGATGCTTTCTTGGTTTGGGCTTATTTCATTTTCTTTCTTTCTTTCTTTTTTTCCAACAGTAAAATAAATAGCTAAAAAGGTCTCTAAGTAATCGGAAAGTTAACATCCCAATTAACTTTCCCATCCCCACTTCCCTCCCCTAAACCTGGCCAGAAATGAAGAGTAAACATTCACATTACAACAGGTACTTATAATGTGGGCTTTGCCCATTCGTCCGCCTAGCAAGGCAGATTCAAGTTCATTGTTTACATATTACTGGGCGCTTTGTAAACAATACAAGGTTACTTTTAGTTTTGTTTTGCTGTGTGAGGACAAGCGTCGCCTTCTCAGCTTGGCAGCCTCTTTCCTAACTCCCAGCGCCTGGAGCCTCTGGAAGGAAACAAAACCCCAAACAACAACAACAAAATCTCCGCAGAAGCCCAGGAGGCAGGGCCGCAACTCCGGGAAGTTGTGGTCTGCCCAGCCCCTGCCGGATGGGCGGAGGCGAGTGGGGTAGGAAGATTAGTGGCTCCTTTTTGCTGCAGATTTCCAAGACGTAAAGAGATCCGGCCCTCCCCTGCGCGGTTGCAGCCCTCGCGGGGAGGGGGTGTGGGGGGGATCTGTTCCTGGAAACATCTGAGGCAGTTTCTCTAGTCTCGAAACTGCTCAGAGTTCGGGGCTTCGCCGATCTGGGCGGAGGGAAGACGCGCTTTTCTCGGCGAAGAGAGGGTGACAGGATTTCCCCCGCCAGTCAAATGGGAGGGGGTTTCGGGGCCTCAGGGAGGGGATGGCTCGGCTCAGGTGGCCCCGGCCTTCCCTGACGTGGGGACTAGGACAACTCCTACGCGCCTCCTGGCCCATCTGCAAGTTTGTGTTTTGTCTCCTGGATCCAAAACAAAGTTCTCTTGGGGCAAGACGGGTTGGCCGAAGGCGAAAGGGATAAGTTAGGGTGGCGGTTCCAGGTTGCGGCGGGCAGGGCTGGGAGCCAGGGAAGGCGAGTGAGGTGGTGGGGAGGAGAACGAGAGGGGGCGTCGGCTCCTGCGGGTCAGTGCACAGCCACCGAGTGCAAGGCGGAGGCCGGGCTGGTGAGCGTTTCGCTGGGGGTGGCGGGGCTGCTTTGGCTGGTGGCTGTTTGTGAGGACGTTGGGCTGAGCGAGGGCGGCGAGTTCGAGAGCAAGGTGGGGATGGGCGCTGGCAGCGCAGGGAGCGCGGGCACGGCGGCCGGCGTGGGCTTAATGGGCACGGGGATGGCGGGCAGCGTCTGGCCCGCCGCGTGGCACAGCGGCTTCAACGGCACGCCGTAGGCGCTGTAGTCGCCACTCGCCATGGAGATGGGGGTGGCCGAGTCGATCATGCCGGCGGAGCCATACACGTGTGGCCAGCCGGTGCCCAGAGAGCTGCCCATGGTAGTCAACTGGTTGGGGAGCGGGTAGGCAGCGGGCACCGGCTGCATGGCGGAGAAGGCCAGTCCCCCAGGCATCTTGTATTCCCGCGCGATGATGTTCTCGATGGCGAAGGGGTGCTTGAAGCCCGAGGGCTGCGCCACGCCGCCCAAGTTGTAGGCGGCAGCGGGCATCTGTGGCAGGTGCGTGCCCGAGGCCGCCAGCGCGCTGAGCCGCAGCTTGGCCTGCTGCTGCAGGTACTGCGCCGCGTCGGCTGGCTTGCTGGGCGCCAGGTGGTCGGACTTAAGCACCTTGAAGCGCTTGCGGCGCCTCAGGAAGCTGCCGTTCTCGAACATGTCCCCGCAGCTGGGGTGCAGCGCCCAGAAGCTGCCCTTGCCTGGCTGGTCTGGCCGCCGCGGGATCTTGATGAAGCAGTCGTTGAAGGAGAGGTTGTGGCGCAGGCTGTTCTGCCAGCGCTGCGTGTTCTCCCTGTAGTAGGGGAAGCGGTCCATGATGAACTTGTAGATCTCGCTCAGCGGCAGCATCTTCTCGGGAGAGCTCTGGATGGCCATAGCGGTCAGCGAGATGTACGAGTAGGGCGGCTTCTGGTCGCTGTACGTGTTACGGCCGGGCCGAGGCATCTTCTTCCTCGCCCTCTTCTTGCTCTGGATCCGCGCGGGCCGGCGGACTACTCGGATCTGGGAAGGGGGAGGTAATAAGAGGAGGTAGCATGGGTGCACAGAGACACCGGCGGGGTCAGCCAGGCCGAGTAACAGACTTCGGGGGTCAGGGGTGGGGGCTGCGGCGCTCGATCAGCCGGCGTCCGCGCTCTTGAGCCAGCAACTTTGCGGGCTTAGTGGGACCCAGCCAGGGGGCGCAGGAGGGGAAGCGGGCGAACGGCGCTAGGATAGCCGGGAAGTAAGTCCGGCCTGGGGCAAGAACGGGGTGCAGGGACGGAACAGAGAGCTGCTCACCTTAAAGTTGCTTCAAGTTGCGCGTCCGCATCCGGGAGGGCGCCGCAGCGCGCCGCTTCTCTCTCGGCGCGCTCTCCGCGCGCAGCGTCCGTGTCCGGTTGGACTCGGCGCGAACCTGGGCTCTTGAGCTCAGCCCCGCAGCGTCCCGCGCCGCCCGGTCCGCGACGCTCCTGGAGCGTCCTGCGGGCGGCCGAGCTCGGCTGAGGACTCCCGGCGCGGATGGTGGCAGCGAAGGTCTTAGGGCTCCGGAGGGCGCTACTGTGGGCTCCGTGTCTTGGCTGAGCTAGGTGGCTGCCTCCATGCCCTCCCTCGAACCATCTGATAGTTTTAAGCGGTGACAGGAGCAGAAAAGACCCCCGTAGCGGCGCTTCATTAATGTGCCACTTCTTAGCTATCATATGACAATCGCCTTGGGAGGAGGAGGAAGAGGAGGGGGAGCGGGGGCTGCAGAGGGAGGGGACTGAGCGAGAAGGGAGAGCCCGGCCAGCTCTGGTTTCTTTCACACCTATTTACATGGACACCTTGGCCAATAGGAATTACTTCCAGCTCAAGACTGGGCGAAGGGGAAGAGCCTCGGCCACTGGCAGCAAGCAGGACGCGCCGGCCGGTGTGCGCCGTGTGAAGGTATGAGGAGGCGGCCGCCGCGGAGCAGGGAGCCAGGCGACCACTCACATTCACAGACGGAGCAGCCGCGCAGATGATGTTTGACATGGAAATTGCTTGGCTGGGGTATTCTGTTTCCTCTGCGTTGTATCCGGTTTGTATCTGTTAGGTAACTTTAGGCACGGCTTTCCCCTGAAACCGACCCTTTTCCTGCTCTTAAGCACTACCCGGGGTTGTTTGCATGGGTTGGAATAATAAAAACACACCCTTGCCCCCTAGTACCCCAGGAGTTAGGTCGAAATTTGACTTGACCTTCCTATGAAGCTGCTTCAGCTCTGTTTAGTTAGGTGTGTAGCTTTGAAAAAGTGATGGAATTTACAAAATACTTTCAAAATGTGATTGGACATCCCCATGTAAGAGCCCATTTTGAATGTAACTGTATTGATCAAATTTTTAAAAATCAGAATAGTGTATCTGGGCGAAGAGTCCAGGTATTTGCTTTAAAAGTCCTCCGGGAATTTGGTTGGACACAGGACGGAGGCTCAGGGGCTGTTGGGGCAAATGTTGTGCGTACCTGGGGAGGGCCTGAGTTTGATACAGTTTATCACCAGGTAAGCCTCAGGGTCTCTCGCTTTTCCCAGGTGGTTTGAAACTTTACAACTCAGGCATATCCTGGAAGTTTTCATTTTACAGCCGAAACTCCCCTCCCCAACCTTCTCACCCCTCTCACTCCCCCACCCCCGCTTTTTTTTGTATGGAGAACTTACTTAGGATTTAGAGTGTAGCGAAAGCTGCCTGCGATCCCACTAAAACAGCAGTATCTTCTACAACTTGGGGAAAGAACCATAGATTTTTCCTTTTTGGGAAGGGGGCAATGTGCCTCGGGTCACTCCGCCTGGTGCGAGCAGCAGGCTCCCTTCGGCTCAGATTTGCCTTGGGAGGGTTAAATGAATCATTATTATTGTCATTATCGTCATCGTCGTCGCTGCCGTCGTCATCATCATCATCATCAAATTGCTATGAAGTAAATAGTGAGTCGACCCCGCCTGCATGCACGCACTCTATGAGTACACACCAGGAGTTCCCACCGGTTTCTGCACGTTCTCCGACCTTTAAGGTTTTTTAAAGACATTCATTTTACTGGGTTAAAAACTCAATACCTACAGACCACACAGAATCATCTTCAAAGTCCAGAAATGTGAGAACTTTTTTTTCCTAGAAGTGGTGGTCGTAGAGAACTCTAGGTGTTAAGTTTCAACACAACACTTTAAGTGATATTAGAGCATTATTTGTGGAGCTGTTTTGGGTTAGCATAAAAAAGATCTTTCAGCGCGCGCATGCACACACACACACAACTTCATTAAGTATAGTTTCGGAGGCGGTCAATAACTCACCAAAACGTAACTTAAACACGATGAATTTAGGAGATTAAACAATTTCATTAATATTGAAATGGCTCTGGCTCTGGGCTGCCTCGCTTGAGATGCAAGCGCACGTTTTTCAATATTAACAGAAGTGCTTGAAGAAAAGAATAATGTCACCTTCTTAATTCGGAAAAAATAACCGGGAGGAGGAGATGGGTGCGAGGGGCTGGGGGGAGGGATGTTGACCTGTCTCTGGGGGTATGACTCGAGAAGGGCAGATAAATGTATTGCCCTTCTCAGCAGATAAACCACTTGGACTCGGGTGGAACCTCCGCCAAGCTTTGGCCGGAGGCAGCCGTACTCGTCCCAGCTGCTCGCGCTTCAGGTCATAACGAGGTGCGGCGTTTGGGGGGTTACTTGGTGCGGCCAGATTCGAATCGAAGGTCCGGGGGAGGAAGGAGCTGGGAAGTCCAAAGAGCCTGGGAGCCTGGGGGATCCGTGAGGAGGAATAGTGGGCAAGGCTTGTGTTTCCCAGAATGGAAAGGCGCTGGTCCACGGCTTTCCTGCTCGCGAGTACAGCTGGCCTCGGTACAAAACAGTTACTGTGGGCAAGGCAGGAGCGCTCCTGCGATGGAAGGGTACCAGTGTAGACACCCCCAAGAATTTTTAGGATCCTCTCAGTAAATATGTGTATCTGTTCATACTGATATGTAGACAGATAAAATATCATGGGCGGCTGGATTCGGGATGTAGATAGGAGTGAAAGCTCTCCTCCGTTCGCCCAGTGACAGCCAGAAGATTCTTTTCTATCCGGCATGGGTGCGTGTTGAGGGTGGGAAATAAGGAGAGAGAAGTGTTTTATTTTAACAATTGGCATTTTGTTGCCCTGCAAAGAGGCCATTGTATGCCTGTCGAAATCATTGCTCAGAGTAAACAGGAGATTAACTAAATTCTAAGAGTAAAAACGTTCGGGTTAAAAAAAAAAAAAAAAAAAAAAGACCGAAGTTGGAATAAATCTTTGTCTCTCTCCCCGGGAAAGTTGTCACCCCCAAGTTTGGAACATGCGAGGATACAAGTAGGAATTTGTGTCTGATGAATCTTTAAAGTTTGGCTAGTGTGGAGATAGGAGTTTGACGCACATTGCACACGACCAGGGTTACTTAAGTAAACCGAGCCTAATAGCACAAGTTTGCCTTGGATGAGGAGAGAAGTTGTGAGATACACATTTAAAACTTGGGCTTTGCTACAAAGTTTTATCTTGGTTCTGCTGGAGGTCTACAAAGCCCAGGGCGGGGAGGGAGGATTTGCATGTTATTGACAGCATTTTAAGACTGGTATTATGAAAAGGAGGAGGGAAGGAGCACTTTCCAGAAATCTTGAAAAGTGCATCAGAGTCTATTGTGCAGAACCCAAAGCAAACAGGGGGTGGGGGTTGGGGGGAGGCACATCCGACCCGGAGGCTTAGCGAGTTGTTGGGAAAACTGTATAAAATACACATAAGTCAATTATACCCATGTGCAAACCAAATGGAAATCTCTTTCGTGCAATAGCCATTCATCGCCTCCGCAGAGCCCACCACCGACCACCTTTCTGCTTGGAGAGTTCGCAATAGCCTCTTTTCCCACAAGCTGGACCACACACGGCTACAGATTTCGTAATAATTTATGCTAATTTCCCTCCATAAATCCACAATTCGCTTCAGTGGCACCCGGGTTGCTGAGGGAGTAAAAAGGAGACAGAGGGGTGACAAATACAATATTGATTTTGATTCCTTCTGTTGTCAAGCAGGTGTGTGTGTGCGTGAAGGGTGGGGCTGCGGCTTGGGGGGCGGGGGCTCCAGGAGAGGAAATCTGTCCCTAGTCCCCGCCAGCCCCTCCATGCACACTCCAGAAAATAACGCGCTCTGGTTTGTTAATATTTACCAAACATAGACGGGAGGTGGAGGGAAAGTACCCGGCAGCTTCCGAAGGTTTCCTAGGTGCCAAAAACAATACCCGTCGTCCCCACTTGGAAAATGAACTCTGCGCTGCCTGGAGCGTTTCCGCTAAGCCTTCCTTTGCGCGGTCCTCTTCTTTCTCCCTGAGTCTCCCTGAACTCCTTTACGTTTCCTCAATCTGAGTCCCTCCCTCTCCTTCTTTCCCCTCTCCTACAGCACTCCGGTCCTTCACTCCTCTTCGCTACACTTTTCTTCTCTCCCTTCTCCTTTTTGCATCTTCCTTACCAAATTGACAGTGAAATGTGCTGAGGGAGAGGGTCGAAGGCTGGTGCGCCGTCGATTTCAGGTTTTAGGGCCTTGAGAGTCTCCCCTGCCCCGCCCCACTTCTCCAGGCCGCCTCCCGAATTTGCCCCAGTGCTGCGCTCGCTCTGGGAACCCGCGCTAACGCATCGCGCCTCTTTGTCCCATCAGTCATTCTTCAAATCTGCACTTTGGTGGCGTGAAACGACTTAGCCTCCCTTTTAAAAGGATTTCATTCCCGGGGTATTCAGCACTAAAACAAACTCGCTCAGCCTGTCAGTGGTCAATTTTAAAAAATTGCCATCCTGAGTGTCCTGGGGGCTGTTTGTCCTCGGTATCTGTGCGCCTCCCTCGCCAACCCCCCAACACCTCAAGGCCTGGCTTTAACTTGCTGGATTTTGGGACCAGAGGGAACTAGCTCAGAAAGTTCTCCTCTCCCGGGTTCACCGGACAACATCGACTTGCAGGTTCGGGTTGGGGGCGGGGGTAGGGGGGGCAGAGACGAGCGCGCGGCGCGTGTCAGGGGAAACCTATCCGCTACGACTCTCCCACGACTGCCCCGGGAGTTTGAGCCCGCTCTTTCAGGCCACTCCGACTGAGTCTGGCGGGAAATCAAACTGCCCAAAGGAAAGAGGCGGGGGAGGGGACACACTTTCCGCTCTGGTGCCAACTGCGGACGGGCAGTGAAAGGACTCCGTACCCACCCACACTCCCTATCCTCGCCAGCGACCCCTGCACTGTGCTGCCGCAGGAGCATGCTTTTTCCAAGTAGTGGGGAAGAATATCTGCCGGGGAACTTTGCAGCCAGCTATTTCATCCGTTGGTGATTGGGCTACAGGGGGTTTGGACCTTAACTCATCACAGAGAGGAAAAAACAAAACAAAACAAAAAAACCTTTGACAAGTAGTATATTGGCCATAATTAGATCTCCCCTCCGGGCCCAATCTTGCGGGGTTCTAAGACAAGAGTCTCCACCTCCTGTTCACCCTTTACTCCCATCCAAACTGGGGGGCTCAACTTCAAGGGTGTCAATTTTTAGCCGCCACCAGAATAACTTGTCCAGCGGTGAATAGGGCCTCTGGCTGTGGCTGGGGCACCTAGAGTTAAATCTGTGCTTCACTTAGGAGTGAGGTAAAGGGAGAGGCAACACCCCACACATTTTAATAGTATATCCCAAGCAGCTGCTGCAGTTTGGAGAGCATGGAAGGC